AGCCCCAGGCGACTTAGAATGATTCTATTCTGTTCATCTGATTGTATATGGATTCGAACATAAGTCTGTATTTCAACAGTTCATAGGTGTACCAACTGAGCTAGGTCCGTTGGTCCTTTTCGACATTTAGCTGGTGAAATAGGATTTGCTTGCCCCCCAAAACAGAAGGGGCCTTCTCCTTTAAGAAGAAGAAGAAGAAGAAGAAGAAGAAGAAGAAGAAGAAGAAGAAGAAGAAATAGCAATGTTGCAGTGTGCTTAGCAGCATCACTGCTTTTCACAATCAAAGGATGGATGGTGTACATCACAGCCACATCAACCATCCTCGACAACGTGAAAACTCCACATCCCATCCCAACGTCAGAACGAAGCTGGATGGAAAGTTTCAGCTGCATGAACTCAACGTCAAAAAGTAGTTGCTCAGCTGTGAAATATGGCTGAGGCACAGCTGAATTTCGAAGCTTCGGACCCACAGACACTGGAGTCATGCCCTCCCGTGCCTGACCTTCTTCCTCTTCCTGGCCTGGCCCTCCCTTGTTCCCTCTGCCTGCCCTCCCCATCCCCTGCCTGAAGAAGGCAAAAATATTTGGAAAAAAAGGGTTCGAATCGATCTGTCAGATAGCGGCTTACTGGACAAAGAGTTATGGTGGCAGACTCACAAAACTGATTGATCCAGGTACCTTTCAATCCGCGGACCTAGTTCTGAAAGCAGAGCAACAATCGGTCTCTTGCAAGCGGATTGAAAAGCAGCAGTATGTATGCAACGCAGACACCTCGAACAACGGGCCTCGCTCCACTACTCACCAAATCTGCAAAAATGAGAATGAATCTTCCACTGGAACATGGGAGTATACACCAGCATACGTTTTGCCTTTTCTGCATGTCGAGAGTAGTGGAGCGAGGCCCAATGTTTCATGACGAGGACGGATGGCAAGAAATCAAGACCATATCAAGCCAAGCACCATCTTTTGCTTTTTTTCTGCCAAACCAGCTTCCGGAGCCCCTTTTCTGGCGAGCACTTGGTACCAACTCTGATGCTAATTAGCCTGACTGAAACAGACTGGCGCAATCGCAGGGTCTTTGTAGCATACGATGAGGGCTGTACACGGGCCCTTTTTCTTAGGCCCCGATGGTTGTCAGGGGCCCCAGGCCACACACCACTTTGCACCCTAAGAAAAAGGGTCCGTGTACAGGGCTCAGCCTGCTACAGTCTTGATCACTGGCCACAGTGCATAAAGTGGGAACAGTACACCCGTCACTGCTGCGTGGTTCAGCATTCGTAACACATGTCGCAAATTGTCATGATGCTCAAACATTTGCCAGTCTGCAGTGCATGTCTACTACTCGTTGCCAGGGCATGCAAAATGATGGTTTACCATGCGTCAAGCACAACTCACCACGCTACATCAGGGTCTTCTCCGGGCGGACATAACCCTTCTGGTTGGAGCGTCGCGTAGCACTCCCTTGTAACAGGCTTCTGGAAGACAGCAAAGTCACCCGACCCTGGAGCACCTGCCTTGACAGCAACCGTCCAGCACAACTTTGCCGCCAAGTCCTCGATGTCCGTCATGTTCTTTTGGAAAGTCTCTTGTGTTCCATCCCAGCCTCTCCAACGCTTCTGCCAGTTAACAGGTGGTCCCGAGAGGACCCAGTACCCCCCAGGCCGGAGCATCCTGTCCACCTCTTTCAGATACAAGCCATCTGACAACACAAAGAACAGTCGTTAAAATTTAAAACATTCACTTTGTGGAACTCCAGACCATATCTAACCTTGTGAATCATCATCATCATCATCATCACCATACTCACCACCACCACCATCATCATTGTTTTTCTTTTTTTTTGTTTTCTTTTTTTTCTTTGGAACACGGCAGACTACTAGGGGGGGTGATATGAGCAGCCAGCGCCACCACCATCACCAATGAGCAGCCCCTTCCTTTCCAGATCACCTCACAGCCCACAGCTCTGGCAGCTTGGGCTATATAGCCCCACCCTTTTTCCAGGTCCCGTTTCATTGGAGCACCACCCAATAGTACGCACCCCACCCTTTTTCCAAGTCCAGTTTCGCTGGAGCACCCCCCAATAGTACGCAAAAATCGTTTTCCTGGTCTCCTTGTTAGACATGTCCCTGACCTAAACAATCCGTTGTACATGGGTCCTCGGTGGTATAGGTTAGATTAGGAACCTGGTACTCGGTTCTACATCTCCACAGGAGGATGGAAGTCGGCATCAGTTTGCAGAGGGAATACTTAGTTCGCTTGGCTCAGTCCTATAGGGACTGGCTTTCGATTTAGACCGCATGTAGTCAACCGTTGGGTACAAGGGAAGAGCAATCGAATACAGGCTTAGATTCGAGTGCTTGACTCAGGTAGCTTCGACGTTAGATGCTAGTCTTTATAGGGTGGTAGGAGGCCATAAATTAGCATGTTTTGGTTTGTGTGGTTTTGTTGGCCTGAGGCGTATGTTTTGGTTTGTGTGGTTTTGTTGGCCTGTGGTGTGTGTTCGATTTCAGGACAGAGTTTTCAGGACGGCGGCCCAGACGAGGCCCTTTTTGTTCCTTGATATTCCCCTTCCTGGCGAGCCTCGGCTCGTAAGCTAAACTGGGTAATGCTCCCAGGGTAAGCCCTTTTGCACTGAATGATGTATGCCATCTCAAGCGCATAGGTGATGGAACACTTCTATACCCAATGGCTCTGCTAAGTTCCAGAAAGGCTGTATTAGTTGGATCATGACAACAGAGAGAAAAACTAAGGGGTGGAGAGAGAGAACATAAAACTGGAGGAAAACGAATGAGCTACCGTCTTCCCCCGAACATAGCGCACCCTAAAAATGAATGTATACAAGCTATACCGGCCAGATACAGCCAAAATGAGGATGCGTTGTGTTCGGCCGAAGACGGTAGATTCAGCTCTAAGGTTTAGGCACAGGCTTATGGGAGTGATTGTTCTCCTGATTCCAAACACACCACACACTAGCTATTGTAACTCCCGCCTTCTCCTCTATTAAGTTGACCTCTATTGTTTCTCCTTGTTCTCTCTCTCTCTCTCTCTCTCTCTCTCTCTCTCTCTCTCTCTCTCTCTCT